GTTAACCTCCTTCTCCGCGGGGTTGACATTAGGCGCCCCATCGCCTTCTTCAGGAGCGGACAACGCCACGCTTGCCGTGTGCGCCCGAGCGGTGCCACCCTTTACCGCTCTCTTCTTCCCTTTCTTCTTCTTGGGGCCGGCTGTCGGCGCCTGTGATTGGGTGGCAGGTACATCTTGTTGAAGGGGCGCCTCTTGCCGAGCAGGCGCCTCTTGTTGGGAAGACGCTGCCGCGGCCGCCTCCGCCGCCATACTCGCCAGCCTACTCTTCATAAGCTTGGCGATACTCGAGTAGTCCGCCCCTGCATATGACGAAAGTGAGTTAGTACATAACACAAACAAGGGGGAAGGAAGCAGAACACCTAGACGCCTACACACCATCGTTATAATAAGCTTCAATAATAGGCGGACGATTATCCGCGGGGCGTAAGTCAACAGGCTCCCCCTCGCAAATCAAAGGGGCGCCAGCCTTCTCAGACGCCGTCAAAACCACCGGCTTATTGAAGTCATCAACATGACCTAACTCCCACTTCCTCATAAAGGCGCCCCCACTGGCAAAGAAGGAGTCTTGATAGGCCTTCACGAAGAAAAACCCGTTGAACCAGCTTCGGTTCAACTTAGGGCATTTCTTCACAAAGTGATGGGGGCCGCTTTTCTTTTTGCGCTTCTGGAGGGATAAGCAATTGTCCAGAGGCACCATTTTGAAGAAGTATCTGAACAAGTTGAAGGTGGGCTCCACGTTGTGCTCTCGGCACCTCAACTTGAATAGGATGACAACCGTAATGACCGAGGGGGATAGGCGCCCGAGGGGGCAGGCGCACGTCGTCAGAATTCCCTCCATAATCGAGTCTAGGGGAAACTGAAGCCCGAAACGAAAGTATTCCTGATAGATCCCGATCCACTTCGGGCCACAGACGCCTACACGGGACTGAGGCGAGGGAGGCGCATACCACCAGTCTCTGGGAAGCTGGAGACTGGTCACCAATTCATGAACCCGGTCCAGGGTGACTGTCGACGTGTGATTTGGCCCAGCCACCTCAAACGATAAGTGCGACGTCTCGGTTGGCAGATGATCAGGTGGGAAACACTTCTCCCACGATGTGATCTTGTAGGACCCATCCGCGGGCAAAAAGCCAGGCGCTGAAGAACTTGACGGCCCAGCTGATGAGGAAGCAGACGCCCGCTCTAAACCAACAAATGACCCAGACGCAACGCGGACAAGGGGTAAGTGACGCCCCTACCCTAAGTGACTAGAATAAACTCAACGAAATCGACGAAGGGAAAAGGACCACTTACCACGTTGAACTGGGCGCCTTGCTTCACCACCGTCGCCGGAGGCGCCTGGTGCAGAGGTCTTGTCTTGTTGTGGAGACGACATCTTGGACGAGAGTGGTGTGTGGGAAGCGAAGAACAAAGAGGACAGAGGTCAGAGCGGAAGCTAGAGAGAGGTCAGAGCAAACGTCTAGAGAGAGGACAAATAGAAGAAAGTGACAGCATCACAAGGGGGGGGGGGTATTTAAAGAAAAACGAGGGCTCACCCGCCGCATGACACGTGTCAGCCATGCCGAAGAAACCCTTCCGCTCCCCCCACCTTTTGGTCTTTTCGCGAGCCACAAAACTACAGGCGGACCTTTGAGCTTCCCCCACCCTTTTCTTTTCGGGGAAAATTCTCAACTCCCAAATTTCGAATTTCGAATTTCGAATTTCGAATTTTCTTTTCTCCAAATTTCCCCGACAAGCAAAGTGTGGGTGAGGGGGGCACAAGGGATAAGGACACTCGTCAAGAACGACACCATGAAGCGCCTGAAAGGAAGGGTCAGTTAAAAAAGGCGCCCCGTTTGGTAAGAGGCGCCTCGGCAGGCAAGAGGCACAGAAGCACATGGAAGAGCATTCGACAAGGGACACAGCCAAGGGCGGGACGCCTGCCCGCAGAAGAAGGGAGGCAAACGCACCTCGTAGGACCAAGAAAGAAGTGAGAACACGATGCAGGCGCCGAGTGACAAGCGCCCGGTGACTAAGAGAAGGCTGGGTTACAACTAGAGGTTCAGTCAGGCGCTCGATGGCGAAGCCACGAGCACCTAACTGGGGGGGCAATTGTTGGGGGTGTTACCCAGCAAGCCAAGAGATTGGGCTCCCCAAAGAAGGAGTTAGGGGGCAAGGCCCAAAAGGTAAGAACCAATATTCACTAGTGGCCCTCGGGCCCAAGAAAAGAGAAGGGACCTCAAGAATAAAGTACCAAGAGCCAGGTGGCGGCCAACCGGCTGGTGGACCACGGCCTGGGGGCGCCTGTCAGGTGTCAGGAGTCTGACAGGGCGGTTAGCTGCCTCACAGAGCACCAAAAGCCAGGTGGCGGCCAACTGGCTGGTGGACCACGACCTGCGGGCGCCTGTCATGTGTCAGGAGCCTGGCAGAGCTGTGGAATGCCAGTCAGGTGTCGGGAGTCTGACAGGGCAGTTAGCTGTCTGGGGGCGCAGAGCATTAAATGAGGGAGGTGACGTGGCGGAAATCAACCTCGGGTTCGGTGAGTATAAATAGGGGCAGTCGATGGCATTTATGCAGGTTGGTCTCTCACACTAAAACCGCACTTGACACTTCTCTCTCTAACTTAGTTCTGACTTGGGCGTCGGAGTGCTAACGGGCATTCCCGAGCCCTTTAGGCGCTTGTCCTTGCAGGGTCCAGGCGCCTGCACTGAGTTTGAGGGGGCAGAGATCGAGGAAGGTGGGACCGGAGGAACTTGGCTCAAACATTTATTATCGATGACAATATACAATTATTATACAACACCAAACGTACATATGTTTGTGTGCCTGTTATGAAGTACATAATTCAGAAAATTGCTTCTAAGTTACATACTCAAAAAAGTGAATGGAACGGTCTAGCTCACATATTGCTTCTCCAGCAGGCTCCCACAGAAGGCTAAGTCGAAACGCTCTTCTGGAGGGTCTCCAATGAAATCAAACACAGCATCAGCATTCAGAAAGTCCTCATCAGCTGTGTATCTGCCACCACCAAAACATCTCATCTTCATCAAATACATTACCCACACATTCAGTTGCCAAGCCGTGAACTTTCAGTTGTTGATTGAAGCGTATCCTCAGAAAGAGAGAGCCTGGAAGCTTCAGACTTAAAGGAGGGTCAGAAAACCATTAGCAGGAACTTACCCGCTTTTAGTGATGATACATTTCATTCCGGCTGCTTTTGCAGCAGCAAGCCCGATTCCACTGTCCTCTACCACTACACAACTGCAGGAAAAATTTCCACTTGTATGAGCATTTCATGGAAATGCTGGCAATGTAGAATGAGAATTACGATTACTATTTACTACCTTGCCGGATCTACACCCAAAGTGGTGGCAGCTAGTATATAAATGGCCTGTCAAGAATGAAGCACCAGTTTAAGGATCTGTCTGAAGTGTCAAGCTGAACAGAAGGATTGAGATATATGGTATGATATCAATGGGACTGGAAAATAAAGGAGCACCGGGTCTGGCTTCTTGCGAGGAACTACATCTCCTGCAAATATCTTGATCTTTTCTGCGCGCTCAGGTCCCAACAAGTAGGAGACAATGGCAGAAACCTTGAATTGATGTAGCAAAGCAAATGACAAGTCAAGATCATACTATTTAGCTCTTGATGATAAAGAGGCAATACTAGCTCTTAAATTGGCCTATACACACCGCTTTCTCATTGGAAGTGCTGCAGACAGCAACAGGCACCCCTTTTCCCAAAGCCTGATCAACCAACCTGAAATGTCAATGGCTGAACATTCAGCTTAAGGCAGCTTGGAGTTGAATTCAATCATACAGCGTACTACCACCATTGAGTTTCTTCAAACACAAGTTCATGTGGTTGAAAAACAATCACAAGTGCTAATACGAGTTCTAGGAGACGCACTTTGCAACGCCAGGGCGAAGAGGCAGCAGTCGCTTCTCGATGAGAGCCATGAACAACTCCGTCTTCCTTTTGTGAAGTGAAGCAATGAACGCTTTCCTTTCATCTTCACTCTTGGGAGCATTCTCTGGCCATCCAACTTTATTGAAGTATGCTGTCATCCTGCAAAGTTACTAGGTCAGCAGAAAACCCACTTCCAATCTCATATTGATCAAATTACTATAACAATCAACAGGGCAACAACCTGACATTGAATCCAAAATTTCATCATGAACTTCAGGAGGAAGAAGATTGATTTGTAGATTTATTTAAAACTAGAAAATGTACCTCTCTTTCCCACCTCCAATTTTCAACAACTCTCCATACAAATCCACATCCCAAGTGACCCCCAATTCCTTCTGCAAAAATCGAGCAATTTCAATTCAATTCATTACCCAGCAATTACATCCAAATACAAACGCAGACCAAGTGCAGAATACTTTACTGTGAATGCCATACTTCATTGAAAGTATCGTTGAAGGAAACCCTGTGGCCGTCCTTCTCAGTATCAACAAGCACGCCGTCGCAGTCGAATAGAAGCGCGGATGGCAAAGCAGCCGCCGTCGCCGCCGAGCAAGTTACAGCACCCCTGCCCCTGCTCCTTCCCATTCCCAATGCTGAAATTTCCCTGTTCCTTCTGCTGACACAAATCCTCGTGCCCAGCAACGAAGACGATGAGGTCGATTCATGGGTCCTGCTAAAAGTGGCTACGGAATAAGTCTTCGGCTCCTGGGAAGCAACAGTAGAAGGAAATGGCGGCAAAGCAAGAGAGACGGTGGTCGACGACGCCATTATTGGTGGCAGGATTTGTTTGGAGCCCTTTCTCTGTCCACCAACGGTTTATTTTACTTCGTGGTCACGCAGCTTATCTAGTCCACCGTGGGGCCCAGTAAAATCTGGCCTCATTCGGCCCATTAAAATTTTTGCTCGCTTCAGGCCCAGCCCAACTCTGTTACCTCCGCCGAGCGCCGGGAAACAAGGGAGATATACTTTGGCGGTTTTGTAGCTTGCTTGGACAGGAGGCTACAAAAGAGGGAGAGGAAATCGGAAGGGAAAAAAAAAAAAAATCAGAAATGGCGGGAACCTCAGGGCCGATTCCAAACCCTAAGTACGAGTTCGACACTCCAATTACCGGGCAATGGCTGATACACTACTCTCGCTTCTTCAACTTCCCTTCTCTCCACCAAGCTGCTTCATCCGGTTCCAAACGCCGGAAGAAGAACACTTCGGGAACATGGCTCTCTTCCGCTTCCATGGTCTGCCTGCAACTCCTGCAGCATCAAGCCGATGGCGTCCTCCTTGTCTCTTCTCAGGGAAAAATCTACGTACGTGAGTTCTTCTGTTGGATTCTCTTAGCCAGTTGTCTGTCTTCTTTCGTTGCGTTTAATTTGACGGCGGTATCTGAAAATGGCGTCTCCGTTTCTTAGGGTTTCCGATTTAGATTAGCTCTACTCGAGGTTTTGCAGGACTTGAAATAAATGTAGCTGTCCATTGTTGTTTCTGTGGCGTGTTGTAGTTTAGGGGAGCTGGTTAGAGTTTGCTCTGTACCCGTTTGAGGTTTCCTAGGAGTTCTGTGAACTTGGGGGGGAATTTGGTGAATTATTCAGGCTTTGTGATCTCATGTTGATTCGGTTAGTTTGGTGGGCCTTCAGTTCATCGTTTACTGTCAACAGATTGAACCGAAACTTCGAATGATTGTAACAGGAACAACACCGGATCTCGAAGCTGCAATTCTCCTGGCCTCAGGTTTCATGTCTGGATATTTGTCCTCTTAGAGGCAGCAGAGCTGTATTTGCAAGTTATGGGGATAATATGGGCCAGGCAAGTTTCTGAATTCTGTACTAAATCTGGGGGTTCAAGATTCTATAAAGATTCCGTTTTGCTCCCCCAAAAAATCGAAGCTGAGTGCAAGTGCAGCGCATGTGGCTTATGGATTATGAGTTATGTTTTTCGTTGTCGTTATAGATATGCGTGTTCATGTTTTTGGTAAGGCTTTTCTTGTCTGTTCATGAAGTGTACCCTTTTGGTTTGCCTGCTGAATTTGCAGGTCCAAAAGTTCGCAATGCGGTTCTTGTCATCCTCTGATGCACAAGCCTTCATGTGCTCTGTAAAGGTGAGACCAACCTTCCTCCAGGTTACTGTATATGTACAGAAACAATAGTTGGATGTAAAACCTTGGACCAAAACAAAATAGATTTTGTTTTGTGCTGAAACCATTGATAGAAGTCCAGTCTTCATTCTGTTCTTTATTCTTCCGGCTTCGATTTAAATAGGATTTGATCGATGAGTTAACCTAGTTATGCTGATTACCAATAAGGGATTCCATTTGTTTCTGTTTTCCTCTCACTTCGGCAGACAACCTTGAATGCTGTTACAAGCGGGATTACCGGTGCTAGAGTTGGCTCAGAACTTTTGTCTACATCTAACTTCCTATCTTCAGATGGAATAAGTGATAGGTGATGATAAAGTTACTTTTCATGTCAGTTGGTTTTGGCTAGTTAGAAATAGAATTCATGAAATAATCTGTTCCCATCATTACTGTAACTAATGCTGGGAAGAAACAATGCTGCAGTACTTCTCAAGACATGAGCAATCTGAATCCTGTTGGAAACTATTGGCCGGAAATGCAGCTTTCATCAGACCACAAATACACACTATACACTGATGGAACACATTCTACTCATCATTCAGTAGCTGGAGCTATCCCTGCACCTCCCAGCTTGACTACTCATCTGCCAGACACTTGCAATGATGGACATAGAGGTTTACTTGCTCTGACTTTATCAGGGATTACCCTCCATTGTCTCGAAACTGTTTGTCTCATCTGGACATGTAATGTGAAAATTTTGCAGAGCTGCTGAATGTACCTGAGCTTTTCTACCCCATTCACAAGTCTACAGAACAGGTATTTCCCGAAACTCAGTGATCCAAAAAAGCAACTCATTGCCAGAGCTATTTGGCTGTGGCTGGCTATCTTGTTCTACATATTCACTCAATGATTTACTCACCTTGGTTGGATTGATAAGATTGTTTGGAATTTTTACATGAAGTCTAGGACTGGAATGCTGTTAATTATTTTCACTCTTACCCAAAGCTTGCTTCTTGTTTATTCCTAAACTTTTTCTGTTCCAATTTCATGCAGGCTGCCGTTGCAGATCCTTGCTTCTTCGGTTAGTACATCTCTTCTTCCGATCTCTTGTTACTGCTTTACGCCCTTCATCTTGCTAAGTGATGTGCCTCTGAACGTAGTGAATGATGCTTGTCCCGTCCCATCCATGCCCAAAATGCATAGTACCATCTAAGCTCTTTCGTTTTTAGGCTGATACATTGATAGTCTTCATATGTAACAATTGAGCAGGTATGCTGACGGGGTTGGAGGTAATGCTTATGGAACTAGGAGGCGACCTGTCATTGTAGATGCTACTACTCGTCTTTTTGCCAGCACAGCTAACACCAACTGAAAAGCAATTTCCACACAGTAAAGTACTACCTCGTATGGCCTCAAGCTTGTCAGTTTTTTTTTTTTTTTTGGATGAAGATTCCTCTGACCCAAAAGGCCAAAACATGAGCTTTCGTCCATCATATACCAAAGCATACATGTAGAGCTTTCTTGGTGCAACCATTGAGTAGTTGAAACCTCATTCATGCATCAATTCTCCACGGTGCCGATTTGATGCATGAAAGTAGCAAAGTTTTGTCGCTGTCCCCAGGTTGCTTTTGGGGGGTTTCTGAAAGGTTTGTTGTAAACAGGGATTGTGGAAATGTTTCACTCGACACGAGATGATTCTTTTTCTTTTTTTAAGGTCATGGCAGCACATGGATAGGAATGATTTAATTGGAGGTAAAGCTTGTGGAATGATATTGCTTGCTATTCATATAGCTCTCTCGATCAGGCAGGCAGGCAGGAAATGGGTAAGAATTGAGGATTGTAATTGGAGTTTGTTCCGGAAAAAGTTAGGGTATATTGAAATTGTGGTTCAATTGTTTGATACAACTAAAATTGTCTATTGGTTTTCGATTGCGTATGAAATTTTTTGGGTCGAACTACCGATACGATACGATTTTTTTTAAACACTTGTTTTTAAGGAACCAAGAATGTGGATGGTGTGGAGACAATCTCTACCTAGCTTTACTAGGGAGAGGATGGGTGGAGGCAGAACATAAAGCTTGGAAGTAGACAGATAGTCCAGTTTGGTTGGTTGGTTGGTTGAATTGATATGATTTTGGTTTAGTCCAGTCCCCTACCTACGGGCTAGGGCTACTTGCGTTCGTAACAGTGAAATATTTATGTCTGTTGAGCCCGACCATTTTCTCAGAGTTGCTAGATGAGCGAAATTCATCCATTGACCAGGGGATCTCATCGGGAAAGATTTTGGTGATAAAGAGGGGCAGCCTGATCAAGTATACCAATATATGTTTCGTATTGTCAATTCTCAAATAACCCTTCATGTAGAAATAATGATGAATGTTTTGGTGAATGCGAGGAATGGTCTTCCAAACAGGATAGAGTAATTTGTAGCCTTGTCTATGACGAGTACTACAAACTCGAGGGAAGATGAAGGGTAATGAAATTTGAGATATATCCCGATAAGTCAATCTGGGCTTCGTATAGGTCTGGACTTAGAAGTTTGTGATCTAAATAAATGGCTTGTGAAACTTCTCAATGGGACATGGCGGTCTTGGATCACCACAGAGGCTTCTGGATCGCCATGGTTCACAGCCACCGGCTATTGGATGTGTGAAATGCGGTTTCTTTCCCTGGTTGGTGGTAAGATCCATCTGGTCCAAGTCTACATTTGTCCTTTCTTATGCCTTAGTATGAAATTCATGTAAAACCCACCTTAAAAGTTAAAAGACATCAAACGTACCGATAGAGGCTACAAAATGTACAAAGGAACAAATATGAAGCAAAATTGCATGAGAATGAGTAAAGATGCATCTAATAGTGGAGATTTCGTGAGATCAGTGAACTACTCAATTAAGGGTCTGCTTGAAGTCCATAAAGGTGAAAATTTTGATTGCAAGCCACTCTTCTGAGTTTGGACTATCTTACACACGATAGTGGATCAAGAAGATGGCACCACCTATGTCTTCGCCTTACGTCATTTTTTCTACATTCATGTTGTAAGTTGTTGTGAGCTCGATAGAGGCAATGACACAAGGTACAACTCTAATAGTCCCTTCCAACAGGGAGAGAGTTTTGGCTTAACACCATGATGATGAATCTCGTACCATACATTGCATTCCACCTCGTGGATTGTCGCTTCAGGAACAACTTATTTTGCTTCTTCACCAAGAATTTCCTCCAGAACGACAAATCATTTTGTCTCAATTTTTAATTCCTTTCTCTTGAAGTTTAAGACATCTAGAGGTTTCATTAAGCTCTGAGAAATAGGATTACGAGGTTCATACGACTCGATCAGTACTTCTTGAGTCTTTCCAATCTTTGGAGATGAACAAGAAAACTACATGCAATTTGTGTCATGAAACTCAAAATGCTTACTTTTATACCCCTTTTATATCATAATTTATACAGTTTGATATCATTTTATCCACTTTCGTTATGGATTTACTTCTTGAACTTTTTTTTTTTTACAAAAGATAATCTTCATTGATCGAAACAAAAAATAGTTACATCCTGGATTTACTTCTTGAACTTGTTGTAGTCACTATGAGTATTTTTATTTTTTACACTTTTGATACCTTTTTGGTAATTTCACGTTATTTTCAGGACAATGAAGAAAGGAGGACCATTGTGAATGTGAACCAGAGGTTGGATCCAGAATTCAAGGACGAAAGTGAATTTTGATTCGAAATACCACAAAGCTAAAATGATATCAAGCCTTTTTTTTAATGGTGACCAAAATATCAACTCTAAGCTTGAAAAACTAATCCTAAGGCATATAATTACCCCCTTCCAGTTCAGAAGAGGAAACAACATTAATCACAACTTTTATTGGGTTCTCCGTAGCCAGATGCACCCTTTTCCTCAAAGATCATTCTCAAACTTTTGGGGGTAAACATGGGAGGTCAGAACTGTCCAAAAGCACCATTCGACAGCTAGAATCTACGTTTCTCTATGTTTCTTCAACCAGGAGTGGCTACTTCATGTTGTTGTTTAGGTTTGTGGAACCTAGAGGTTCCAAGATTGTTTATGTGGATTTTCTGATGTTATATGTATGCATTCACACCTTATTGTTGTACTTCAATATACTTTGACGTATCAAAATCATAAGTTATTATTATTTTTTATCAAATTGATAATATGATTTGGGTTTAGAGAATTATAGAATATGGTTTACCAATTAAAGGTTATAATATAGTATCCTTTTTCAAACTCCACTACTTCTCGGTCCAAATAGCAAAACTTATTGGATCGTATGCTAACTTAACAAAATATATATATATATATATATATATATATGACGAAGGCCAGCATATGCTCGGCTTTCATTCATACTTATTAGATGTACTTCGATATATTTCGACGAATAAGAATCATCGGTTATTTTTTGTAGATTAAATGAATATTATGGTTTGGATTATATAATTAGGAAATTTAGTTCACCCATTAGAGGTTAGAGCATAGTATCATGCACCATACTTCGGCTAATTCATGGTCTAAATAGCAAAAATCGGTAGTCTAATTTTGTAAAAAAAAATGTATTAGAAATAATAATCGACAATCATGATTCGTCAACATACATCCAACAAATTATATGCACCATCATCTTAGTGTGTAGGGGTCTATGATTTAGGATAACTAAGATCTAGAGTTTACTCATCAACGATTAGAGTATAATATCATGCCATAAAATTAATTAATTCGAAATCTAGATAGTATTTACATACCTAAAGTATATGATACCCTAGATTTATCATTAGGTACGTACGATAGACAACACCATCTGTATATGAAAAAAGGCTAACAATCGTCCATCATATAATATTCAAATCGTTTCAATATTACTTTTAGAGCTAATTATTTATCCTCAATCTGCATGAAGTTTCAAGCCCTAGCCATTGTTTAGATACCTTCGAAAGATTAATTTCCCCCCGTTCATTAGTGTTGGGGGCATACAATGAGTGGCCCAAGTAAGGAACCCAGGAGGTCGAAATGGGCTGGAGGTGTGGGCCTGGCAAAGAGAAAGCCCAGCTCAAAAAGGGGCTAGAGGCTGTAACCTAGGAAGTGGGACCGGGCCTGAGGTAAAGCGCATGGCGACAAAAGGGGGGCAACGGCCGAAAGCGTACGGAGGGGACAGGAGGTGGGGCCATGTGCCTCCATGACAAAAGCCGGTGTCAGAGTGTCGGGGCGCATGGAAGGGGAAAGGTATAGTGCATTTAATGAGATGATGACGTGGGGCGGATTTGGGGGGCAGTGGTCGACCCTACCCTGGATATAAATAGTGAAGTGGGTGGAGCTCATTTACTCAGGTTAGAACTTCTCTCTAAAACTTGCATCTCACTTCTCTCTCTAGAAAGATCGTTCTGACTTGGGCGTCGGAGTGCTAACGAGCCCTTGTCAAGAGGGCTCGGAGGGCGCCTTTGTGTGCAAGAGGGGGACGTGGAGCAGAAGCGTGTGGGAGATAGGCGGTGCGTGTGAGCCATTGAGAGCGGCGGGTTACGTGTCACAAACAATTAGAATCATCTCAGTACCACTACCTATAATTATGGGGGGGGGGATTTGAAATGAACAAAAGTGTATTATGTATTGTTTTACGGACAAATACATCAATAATACAAACTCTTTTGTCCTCAAAACCCATGAATTTTACTGGACATCAAACCCAAGCTTGGGTCAAAAAAGGTTGTGGTGCGGTGATTTATATATTCTGTTCTATTCCCATAGGGTTCTAATGGAAGAGGAATTAGAATGTTATGACAAAATAAAAGGAGGTCGCAGCAACTAACCCAAATGGATTCACAACCGTCGTCCCTCCCACTCCCACCCACTATAATATAATAATAATAATAAAATTAATTAATGAGTGATTAGAGATTATGGTAATGATTATGATGATGATGCATTTCATACATATTAATTGGGATGGTTCTATTGTACACTAGACTAGGCAAAATCTGGAGTATGTCGTAAACCAGACAATCTGTATCGTCCGTGCCCATCTCAACGACCAGTATAAATGAGGTAATTTATTTTTTAATTCAAAAAAAAACCAGCATTAATGCTGCCCGTTGAGATGAACATGGACGATGGAAATTGCTGGTGTACGACATACCTCAAGATATGATTGGTGTACAATAGAAGTCACCTAATTGATATATATGTACTTGAGGTAGTGGAGAACTATGTTGAAGTCGAAAGTGCTTATAGTCTCCCTCAAATTTAAAATTACATGTAAAATTACATGTAAAATTCATAATAAATATAAAAAATAGATTAGTTGGTAAGACTTTAGCCCCTTCTCCAATTATCAAAGCTCAAATCAACTTCATCATTCATATTTCCGACTCCATCACTAAATTGATGAGTGAGCAAATAGGAGAATGACGAGGGAGAGAATGAACTAGGGTCTCACTACCACAACCAAAAAATAATAATTCATTCATTCCCCCTCTTTTGTTCTTTTGTAGAGAGTGCACCCCCTCCCCTCTCCATTTATTGCCCATCTTCTCTATCCCTGTCCTTTGCTTGCTACTTAGCTCTCTTCTTCTTCACCCTCCATTGCTCTTTTCAAGCCAAGCCCTCCTCTCTCTCTCTCTCATTGCATCCCATTCTTTTGCCATTCCCATATTCATCCCTCAAGCCCTAATACTCCATATTCAGTCCCTAACTAGCTTGTTTTGAACATTGTCAATTTCTTGCTAGTTTATAGTCCCTAGCTGCTGGAGCTTGCCTTCCTATTTCCCCAACCCACAAAATTAGGGTTAGTTTTCTGCTGCTGGAGTAGCTGATCTGAATTTAAAGGCAACAAGCTTGGGCAAAGCAGGCACCTAATACAGTCTACACAGCTTGGGCTTCCATAGAGGTACAGCGAGTTATATTTGGTACCCAAATCCCCTATTTTCTGCTAAAATTTTTCACTCCTTCGTGATGAAGAAGATGATCACTAGGTATATTAATTTCTACATATACCACGTACGTAAATAACAAATTAAAGTAGATCTTTTTTTACTTCTTCTTCTTCACCATACCATGTTGGTGTGTTTTTGTTGATTTAGGGCTTGGCTACATAGTTGTCTGTCTTTTGAGTTTTTGTTCAAAGGATGTGAGGCAAGTTGAGCAGAGAGAGAGAGAGAGAGAGAGTGATTTGAGATGACAAAAGACAAACTCTGAGAAGAGGGCAAGGCAGGCTGCAGAAGAGTGCGTGTAAGTAAAGGAGGAGGGACAGACTGTTGCTTGCTTGCTGCAGCAGATTTCAATTCAAGGACGAAGGATTTGGCCGGCAACCCAACCTAGAAAGTAAAAAACACAAATAATAAGTCACAGGAATAAAAGAAAGAAAAAACGTATAGCTTGCAGTGTTAGTACATGATCAGTGGAACCCAGACAGCAAGGTTTTCGATTTGGGATGCAATTCAAGGTTGACTTCCCATAAGGCCACTCATCTTCTCGTTGTACTCCACACTGAGTACGCGTTTAACTTCGGAGTTCTCACAAAAACTCTTTCATTTTCACCCCAAAACGCGCGTCTTGTCAGTTAAGGTCGGTTTCTTACTCATGAACCATGAATCTCTCTCGTGCTTTGTCGATGTGGGATTTACCTAAGGTGTTACACAATCACCGTGTCAGATCAGAAGGCCAGCTTTAATAATTAAGGTTTGCAGAAAAACAAAAAAAACTATACATGGAATTCAATCATGCATATGATATATCCACTGGGTTTCTATCTGTGTGTGAGAGAGAGGATGGATAGATTGAAGAGAGGGAGGGAGGGGGTAGAGAGAATTCAATCATGCATCGATCTTGTACATACACCTTTATATATTATTATTTTTTTCTACCGTCATCCATGATTTTACTTTCTTGCTTCCTTTCTTCTCCATCGGTGGTGATGCTTTTGTTTTAAATCAGGTAACAATTCCGGGAAGAGGGTAGTGTAGTATTGTGTGTTAGAGAGTGGTATAAGTCTATAAGATCTAGCAGAAATTTCTCCCAACAACTCGAGTTATTGGGACCAACTGGTTTATGACATGGTATCAGAGCTGGTTTGACCAAGTGGTCGTGTGTTCGAATCTCCACGACCCCCAATATTAACAGTTGATTAAAGCACAAGGTATGGTGGGCCTGTGCAAACTTCAAGCCCGTGAGTTGGCTTTCGTTTGAAGGTGCGTGTTAGAGTGTGATATAAGATTCATCATAACCTTCTCCCAACAACTCGAGTTATTGGAACCAGCTGGTTTATGAAATCGTGTGTAAGGATAACATTTCTAGATATCAAACTAGGGTTTTCTTCTATTTTCAGGAATGAGGTTAGGGTGTGTCTAATAATAAGTCATTTTTTGCTAATCAGATATTGGTCTAGTAGTAATTAATATCACTGGTATTGAACTAAGAGGTTTTAGTTCGAATCCCTTAAAGCATATATATAAGAGAATCGAAAAAATTATCGGAATTCGATGAATTTGCATTTTAAGTAAACAACAACAAAAAGTAAGTTTTACCTTGTTCGAATAATGAAAGAAAACTAACAAAGGTCGCACTTAACTTTTTGCGCACGTTTTTTTGTTCATAGTTTCCATCATCCAATCCCTGCAATGGCGGCTTCATCGTCCTCAGCATCCACAACAACCAGCAGCAGCAGCAACTCGTCGTACAACTCGCCGTGCGCGGCGTGCAAGTTCCTCCGCCGGAAATGCACCCCGGGCTGCATCTTCGCGCCCTACTTCCCGCCGGAGGAGCCGCACAAGTTCGCCAACGTCCACAAGATCTTCGGCGCCAGCAACGTCACCAAGCTCCTCGCCGACCTGCCACCTCACCAGCGCCACGACGCCGTCGCCTCCCTCGCCTACGAGGCCGAAGCGCGTGTCCGCGACCCCGTCTACGGGTGCGTGGGCGCCATCACGTTCCTCCAGCGCCAGGTCCACCGCCTCCAGAAGGAGCTCGACGCCGCCAACGCACACCTCATCCGCTTCGCCGCCACAACAACAAACGACGTCGTCATCCCAGCTGCCACGTTGCCGCCGCCGCCGCAGCCGTTTGATCCCTTGGTGGTGAGTAGGAGGAACGTCGGAGGAGGGTATTATGGTAATAATAATAATAATAATAATAATAACATGGGGCTGCCGCCGTTTCCTTACGGCGGTGGAGGAGCTCTTCCTTGGAGCGATGGGGATCATGGTGGTGGTGGTGGGAGTATGTGAAAATGTGAGTATGAATATATATATGCTCTTTCCTTGATCGTGAAATAATGGGTAAGAAAGAGGTAGGGTTTTTCGTGCCTATATGGAGAAGAAGGTATGGGCATGGGAAGAAGTCTTTACGTATTTATATATTATTTCATAAAAGTGTTGTAGCACAGCACATGATGGACTGCCATTTTGCTATACATATAGCTCTGCAACTTGTAATTTGTTTATATAAATAAGTTTCTGTGCTGCTAGCTAGCTGCTAGAAGAACCTCAAATGAGGGCTAGCTATGTATGAGCTAGGATTAGGGCTGGAGGTTCGGTTATCGGTTGCCGGTTAACCGATAACCGAAAATTATATGCTTCGGTCGGTGGTCGGAGCTCCTAATAGGTAATCCGGTTAATCGAGTAACCGAAAACCGGTTATACCATTAACCGACAATAACCGAAAATAACCGACCGACCACCCCCCTCACCAAAACGCCGTGAAAATACCCGGTTATGAAGTTTATAACTTTATGTTGTTGAATTTGAGACATTAATTTGGTGATTTAGATGTATTTTCTATGCAAAAGTAATTGAGACTTTACTTTAGGTGTGATTTAGACGTAGAAATGTAAGTTAGAACCTTTCATTATAGGCGATTCTAATAATTTTACCCAGTTAAAACCGAACCACCATCATTTTTTCGGTTATCTCGGTTAACCAACCACCTAACCGATAACCGACCGGTCGGTTATTGGTTAACCAAGGCATTGGCGTCGGTCGGTGTTCGGTAGGGAGAGATGGTTTGGTTTTACCCAAAACCGGACCGTATAACCCAGAGCAGGACCGGACCGGGATCGGATAACAAACAATCCAATCCGTTATTCGGGTTTAGATTTGAGGTAAAAAAAAACATTCGGGATTGGAGCAAAACCAGATAAGAGAGCCCAACACCCAAAACTTAACCAACTCCTCACCCTTTAAGGCCGGCTTTCGGGCCACTAAAATCTCCACAATATCAATCTAAAATCAAGATAGAATTGGGACTGGACCGGATCAAGATCGGACTGTATCCAATCCAATCTTTGATCCTTATATTACCGAAGAGACCGGACAGGGACCGGATTAATTTGGGCCAATTTAACCGGACCGGACCGCCGCTAGTATGAGCTATACTGCTAGCTGTTGAGTTGTGGGACTATATTGGATCTGTTTTTGGGCATTGGGGGAGGATTAGGGCAAACTCACTACTAAAAAGAAGAAGCATGTGCATGCTGGGGCTGCTAAATTTTCTACACTCTTCTTTTTTGCTCTCTTTCTTTCCTTTTGTTTTGGTTTGGTTTGGGGGAATAAACGGATATTTGGTACGCAGTTTGATTAATAAAAGGTGGCGTGCTGATCGATTCTCTAGCTTTTTCGCCCGACTCTACTGCTTATAGCTTAGCTACACTATGGCCTGTACACTTACTCTTATAGCTTACATATATATTCTTGCTCTTGTTTTATGGTTGTTTTTCTAAACACTTCTACTATTTTGTAAGGGGGGCTGCGGATAGCATGCGCCAATAACTATGCATAATCCTACGCTTATTATTCATGAAAATTTTTTAATTTTATTTCAAATAATTTAATGAATTATTTCTCTTTTGTTTGAAGTCGTAGCTTTTTTATTTTGCAGAAAAATAGTATGAAGTGTGCTCTTCAAAATGAAAATCATTTTAAGATATTTTGGAACAAAAAGCGGAGACATTTATTACGAGTCCATGATATGAGGTAATGATTGGCAGTACATAAGATTATACCACGTGGCATGAAAGTGTATCATGGTGATATGAACATTGAAAGATATGAAGAGAAAGATTTATCTGAGAGAAAATCTTAACAGTTACATCCAATCACAAACTACACGAAAGTTGCCCTTTTTTCATGGGGATTTACCCATTACAGAGATGCATAGAGTACTGAGTATAAAATGGTTGCATACATGATAGTAGGAATATACTAACCATCATTTACCACTTTTCATCACCAACTACGTACCACCAGTTACCACTCTATACCAGGGTGGTATAACGTGGTATATTTAATTATGAAATCTCCTCCTTCCAAGAATTTGTAGATCCAATAGATTGATAAACTTGTTCCTTCTGGGAAATTTTTTTCCTAAATTCGAGTTGAAAACGAAGATGGTGTCAGTGATACCAAGTGGTACGAGTGGTGGTAATGAATGGTATGAAATTTTTATTTTAAAATATATTGATAATTGATATTATTTTGTATATAACAACGAACATGTTTCATCTTTGCAACTTTTATATTATAATTAAATTCAATTTGTAATTAACATAAATGCACAAATTCACTTTCTACCATAAAATATTTTTTTGAAAAAATTGTCTACAATATTGTAACGGTCAAAAGTATAAATTCAATTTATACTATAAACCTTACTTTTAAAAACCAAAAGCGTGGATGCTATAAAGCATCCTAAAATTTATCTCTTTTTATACCTTTTTATGCAACGTTAATGCTCTTGGACCTGGGCTCGAGGGATCATCAGGAGTTTCAGGACCACGTTCACAATATATATGCAATCTAATTAACTATATATCGAATTCTCTCCGCCGCATCTTTGCCGAGAAGACTCTTATATATAGAGAGATCTATCAAATCTTCCTGTCCTTTATGGCAATTTAGAATATTAAACATTCAGTCACTTTATTGGGGAAATTCTATTAAGGTATCAATCGAGTATTAATATCCGTGGACATACAAATAATAACAATAATAAGAGTAAATACAATCTATTAGTCAAATTTTTAAATTTTTTACATTGTTAGCCGAATTTTTAGAAATATAAAGTGTTATTTAAATGTTAAATTTTCGTTAGCAGTTTTGTTAGTAATGTTGACTTGACAAATGATGTTGAGTTGAAAGAGATAAGCGACAATCAACATTCCAAAAATTTAACGTTTTAATTAAGAAAATAGTTACAAAATTATTAACGGTAACAAACAACGGGATCTTCTCTTACCCCGCTTTATTTAGATAGGGAATAACATACGCTAATTTGAACCTTTCGATGCAATCAAATAGAAAGCCCCAAAGGCCACTGGCGGATCTAGAGTTGGGCCACCCCGGGCCATGGCCCAGCCCTCCTCCGATCCAGAGTTAGTATAGTACGTATAATTTTTTTGATTTTAGGTGTTCGGCCCAGTGATATTTAAAAGTTGGTCCAATATTATTTGATAATGATTTTGTGTAACTTGAAAAATGGTCTTAATGAATATATCCAAATCACTATGCTAGATTTAGACTAAAAATTCTAGCCCCAATGATTTCATTTGAAAAGAATAAAATCAACGATGAAAGCTAAAAGTTTTACAAATAAAATATTAAAATTGTAAAGTTTCATTGATATAAAAAAAAATCACTAAACAAAATCTGACACTTCCCTGTCAGAAAAATTCTCACAATCCCTAAAATACAAAATTAGAACGAGGAGACGAATGGACCCGAAACGGAATCCTCCGCTAGTTTGTTAGGCACTGATTTCTTTTCAATCTTTTAATGAAGAAAATATTTACAAACTTGTTGAGTCATCATTTAAATTGCTTAAGTTGAGTGGTGAACTAGATACTATAAGTTCTTTCAGGTCTTTTGATGAAGAAAATATTTACAAACTTGCTCAAGAGTTTATCCTCGAGACTTTGACGACTATTAGATGCATTCTTTGAAGAATGATCTACGATAGTATGCCACTCATGTGGTTCATAGTCAGGAATCCCTTGCAAATTAATAGAGAAGCTAGTAGGAACGGAGATGAATACAAAATATAAATTGATTAGTCAGTTGATTCGTTTAGTGTAGACCTAGCTCGTTACAGCAGCTACTACGGAGAGAACATTTTCTGCAACGAACATGTGAAAACTTATTTACGCAACAAAATGACAGATGAATTTCTCGCTGATTGCTTAACTATTTTCTTTGAGATAGAGTATGTTATTGGTATGGGCGAATGAATTCGCTAAATTAAAAGATCGTCATGTACGATGGACATTGTATGATATCTAATTTTCTAGTTAAATGCGGTCCAGTGCTCTATTGTGTTATATTCTAGAAGGGAGGAGCCCAAATTATGTGATTGAATAAATCATCTTTTATCGATTGTGGGACAATGTCTCCTTCTTCAAACTCCGATTTGTTTTTTTCCTAGAATAGCTAATAGTATTTTCTCCCCCATTATAAAGTAGATTCTCGATCAATAAGTAATAAACTGTTATAGGGATTTGGTTTCTCTTTTCATTTTCCGCTTTGTTTCTTTGAACTTTTTCATGATATCTTTATGGCTGATCACGGCTCTGTAGACTCTACCCTTTCCCCCCGGCCACACAAAGTTTTAATAGAGCCGCCATGGTCAAAAGGGAATAAAGGAATATAGGAATCGCCACTGTCAACATACACTACTAATGTAAAAGGACTGAAGATCAGTTTACTTAGGTCAAGAGGAAATTTGACAGAAATATAAATAAATAGTATTTGATGGATGATATTCGTGAGAGCGGCGAATTTCCTTTCCAACTTTTGGCGCTTCAAACATGCAAAACCTATATATATATAATAAAATATTTCTTTGTCTTCTTTACAAAGCTCAAATCTTTTGGCACCCAAAAAGAGAAATTGAGAGGCGCAGTCACGATGTGCGTCGGCTGTCTTCCCCGATTAATTAATGAAAAATCAGCATGATTTAACTTACGATTGGAGGATTAGATTGGTGGATTTACGCGACGAGTTAAGTTAGCACCATGTTTGAAATTTCTTGCACTAGTGTAGCATTTTCTATTTTCTTGAAAAGCAATGTAATCTAGTAGGTTCAGTATTAATGGCCATATAATATTACTAGTTGCACTGGCTACGTACATTCTTAATATATTGTTATTCGTATGTTAGCCTTGCACACCCATTTTGCCTAACCAGAAACTATCAATTTTTTTTTTTTGTGTGTGGATATAATTCTCCTAATAAAATGAACTAATTAATTAGTAACCCCGTAAATGTATTTCACTTTTCCTTATCATTTTAATTTTTTTGTGATGCATCATGTTTCTCAGCTTGATGATACCCTTTTTTTATCGTAGTAACACTATATTGTCGATTTTTTATTTTATGAATCATTAAGACTTTAATTTAGTATGGCGACACAAATAGGTGCCAACAAATGGTTACTTTCATAAGGATCGAGAAGGAGAAAAAAGAGGAGCAACAATAATGGTGCAAAGCAAACAAATCAATAATTTTTGTAATGAGATGATGAGATATCTCAAGGTGCATGCCTGAAAGATTATAATTGATGATGATCTGTGTAATGTTGTGTAGAACTATGCCAATAACTTATAACTTGCTTGAGATGATTATGCAAATTGGAGTAACACACTCTTGATATCCAAATTTTCCAAAATAAGAAAAGTATGCTTATCATTCTAAACACTTCTTCCTCTCTCAATCTCCAGCTCCCCCTTCCCAAAATAGAAGTAATGGATCTATTATAGATCCTAATTACCCGTTCTAAATTTAAGCGAAATCATAGTGATTATTCCTAAAAGAGTTGCATTGTAATAGGAATTTTGCATTGTATGACCACATTGTTGTTAGATTTGCAATGACACCAGTAATAAATGACATGATCAATAATGATGAGCATAAGATACAAGAACACATAACTTGGATGATGAATTCTGCCGATTTGAAACCCCTTTTGTCACTCACAACCAACAGTCAATGGATTTCAATTCATCGCTTGGATGATTAATTAACTCTCTTCTTACGCTCGTTATCTGTTAATTTTGTTCGTTAAATGGAATAACAACTCCTGGAACCCACCCACCCCCCTCTCCTCCTCTCACAAAATTCTTTGTTCTTCCAATTCTAGTCATCTTTCATCTCGTTATCGAAAAAACAATCATTACACTCCTTCTCCGATGGCCGGCGCCGCCTCGGCGCTTTTCCTTCTCGACATCAAAGGTCGTATCCTAATTTGGCGCGACTATCGTGGAGACGTCTCCTCCTCTCAGGCGGAGCGTTTCTTCTCCAAGCTCCTCGATAGACAGGTACATTGCACGCTTTCACCTCTTTTTTCCCTCTCTCTCTGGATCGCGGTGACTGTACATGTTGGAATTTTTTCTCGAATGATGAACATATGATTTCTTCCCAATCTAATTAGACTCTTTTTCTTCTTCTTCCTTCCCTATGATATGGCAATTAGATTGATCTACAATCTCAGGATCCCGTGGTGTATGAAGATGGAACCACTTACATGTTCATACAACACAACAACATTTACTTGCTCGTAGCAACCAAGCAGAACTGCAACGCGGCCAGCCTTCTTCTCTTCCTCCACCGCACAGTTCAGGTTTTCAAGCATTACTTCGAGGAGCTAGAGGAAGAATCTCTCAGAGATAACTTCGTCGTTGTGGTCAGTTTATTATAATCACAGTAATTAATGCCTTAAACAAGTAGTATATATATATGTGTAATTATGACTAATAACACTATCTCTAACAGTATGAGTTGCTCGATGAGATTATGGACTTCGGATTCCCACAATTCACTGAGGCGAAGATCCTGAGTGAGTTCATCAAGACGGATGCGTACAAGATGGAAGTTGCGCAAAGACCTCCCATGGCTGTGACGAATGCAGTCTCCTGGCGCAGTGAAGGAATCAAGTATAAAAAGAATGAAGTGGGTATATTATGTGTAATTATGATGATGATCATCATTTGTTGGCTAATTAAGCCCACCATTAAACAATAAACTCATATTGAAGCTTATGTTGTTTTTATGATCTAGGTGTTTCTTGATGTGGTGGAAAGCGTAAACATTCTTGTGAATAGCAATGGGCAGATCATACGATCCGATGTTGTCGGGGCACTGAAGATGAGAACATACTTGAGGTTTGTACATTAAAAAAAAAACAGTTGGGTTCTTAAAATGGGTTTGTGAATTCTTGTGTATTAATAACCTTTCATTCTAATAATGTTGTGGTAGTGGCATGCCCGAGTGTAAGCTTGGCCTAAACGATAGAATGCTAATGGAGGCTCAAGGTCGAACGACCAAATCCAAATCGATCGATCTCGATGACATCAAATTTCACCAGTGTGTTCGTCTGGCTCGATTCGATAACGATCGGACGATATCCTTCATACCTCCAGACGGGTCGTTCGACCTGATGACATACAGGCTCGGCACCCAGGTTTGTCATCTCCTACCTTTCATCCCATCGTGTTGTTCAACCTGCCAATAGGACAGATTAAAAAAAAAACATGTCGACTTAACATATGTGATTTAAGGTGTCAGGTGAGACCTCTTATCTGGGTAGAATCTTTGGTCGAAAGACACTCGAGAAGTCGTGTCGAATTGATGGTGAAAGCTCGCAGCCAGTACAAGGAGCGAAGGTGGTGACTTCGTAATTTTTTTTTTTTTTTAGATTCTTACATTCAAGATGAACTCTTAAACGAAGTAGTGTAACATTGTTTTGACATGATTCGTTGCAGCAATGCAACCAATGTAGAAATAATGTTGCCAGTCCCATCTGATGCTACAAACCCTAATGTTCGGACATCGATGGGCTCGGCGATATACGCTCCGGAGAATGATGCACTTATATGGAAGATCAGATCCTTCCCTGGCAGTAAGGTAAAAGAGAGACAACTTTTTATGTTTTTACATTATCAAAACGCTTCTACTTAAAAATACGCTTTTGACTACATTGTGTAGGAGTACATGTTGAGGGCTGAGTTTGGACTTCCAAGCATAAGAAGCGATGAGGATGTGTTGGAGAGAAAAGCTCCCGTCAGAGTGAAGTTTGAGATCCCTTATTTCACAGTGTCTGGAATTCAGGTAATTAAGAGAAAGCAGTTTGAGATCATGAGTTTTTTTTTAAGTCGATCTGTTGTTGTGACTGCAAATTACGTATTATGAGTCAAGGATATTTGAAATACGGTACCGGAAAAGTCAGCGGTAGGGTATTTTATGCTTAAATCGCGGTGCAACCACTTTATATCGGTTTAGTCTCCGATATGGGTTTTTTCTGGTCGAACCGCCAGTATAGTACGGTATTTCAATCCTTGATTGTGATACCTAAGTAGCCACCCAAGCAACAAGCTAACTAGATGATTTTTTTGGTTTGAAGGTAAGGTACCTGAAAGTGATTGAGAAAGCTGGATACCAGGCACTTCCATGGGTTAGATATATAACAAGGGCAGGTGAATACGAATTGAGAATGGCTTATAATAATTAGAAGAAAGATAGCAAGTGCAACTACGTCCTTTACGATGAAATTGTATTCCACATTTTAAAGTCGTAAGGCACAAGGTAGGTTTTTCGTAAAAAAAAATTAAGAAAGGGGGAAATGGGGCAATGTTGCTGGTTTAGAAACTTTTTGGGATCAAGTAATTTTTATTTGTTTATTTGTGGATACAGTGAGCCAATATTTATTCCTCTCCAATATATTGTCTACTTAGAAATAATTTTTTGTATTGTTCTTACTTCATAGTATATATTATCCAAAAACTTATTTGAATGTGAATGTGAATGTGAATGTGAGTTATCATAAAAAATTAAAAAAAAATTAAAAGAGAAAATTCAAAGATTGTTGTGATCGGGATTGGAAAATCCAAATTATGATAATTAAGGTAGGAGTATTTTACTTTTCATTAGTATTTTAACTTTCTTGTGATGCATAAATGTTTCTCAACTCGATGGCATGATCTATCTGTTTTATCATAGTAACTAGCATCTTTGCCAGACCCGTTGGTCGGGTTTGATTATTTGATTAAACATCAATTTAATTCATGAGTTAGTTTTTAAGGAACTTAATCAATAATAATTCAATGGTATCCGGTGAGAAAAACTTAATGATTTGAGCACATGATCAGATATGTTACATTTATAATTTAAAAGAGAAATTATATATCATAAATTGCTCATATACTATTTATTATTAAATAACATGATATGAAGGATTAAAATTATTAACTAAATAATCTTTTACTTAAATTCGAATTGATCTTGCGAGCTGATTGATAAATCGATCTCAAGTAGAGCTCATGAGCTCATGAGCTCATTAATGAACAGAGTAAAACCCAAATCAAACGCAAACTAGGCTCAATTTAGATAAAAGCTCGGCTCCACTCTTTCCCTTTTATCACAGTATTCGAACCCAGAAGAAAAAAACCGGTTGGTTTGCTTGCTGCTGACGGTTTGAGTGAAGCAGAGTGAGTCGTAGTCGTACAACATTCCAGATTGAAACCACTAGGGCCTAGGCAATAAGTTGTCGTCTTTGTCAAAGTAGATGGACAACTTCTACCCAGAGAAACTACATGGAGAAGCGAGTCAGGCCACTTTCCGATTCCCACAGACGCAGCTTCTTCGACGACGACGACGACGATGAAGACGTCGCTGAACTCGGCGGTTACTACGGAGGTAGCCGCTTCGAGTTCCGTCCAATTCCACTCCCGCAGTCGCCAGATAACGCCCTCTCCCGTCCTCGTTTCAGAGTAATTCTCCCTCGTTGCCGTCTCTCTTTACTACTCCTCTGGCAATTCAGCAATTTGAGATGGTTTCATGCTTGCTTGCTTTTTGTTGCCGGACTGCTCAGGGTTGGGATTCTGCTGAACGCTTTGACGATTTTGATCTGATTGCCGAGATGAACCGAAGGATGGATGAGCACGCAGCCGCTTTGCTGCGATCAGTAGAGAGTCTCAGCAGGCATGTATCTCGGATGGAAATCAGAACGCGGCAACTGGAAGGTGCCTTCGATGATTTGAGGGATTCCATGGAGTTTTATCAGGGGAAGACCGGTGGACAGCTACAGAAGCTTCAGAGTATTCTGACGGAGGTACGCCACTCAAAAATTTGATTGCTCTTAGGGTTTCAGAATCGTTTTGGGAAGTGAATGGTACTGTGGTATTGTGTGTTGCATTGCGAACAGTGATTCGGTAGAAATTCGAAACTCAGGTCGAATGACAGCTTAGTGAGTGACTAGTATTGCCCTCGGAGGGGCATATGAATGAATTACTGAAGCTGGACTGATCTGTAGACTTCTCTTAGGTTTGATTGGGGCTTTCACAATGAGGAGGAGCACTTCGTGTTTACAATTGTCACCAGGGTTTTAGACTTGATCTGCCTACTGATTATTTGCAGACACTAGGATCTTGTCTCGTTGCAAGTATTGTTGATGCGAGGCAAGGGGGAAAAGTTCAGGATACATGACAGTGTTTTGACTTGAGGGGAAGAGCTTGCTTAAGTATGGGATGTCGTAATGCGTAGCAAGTGTTTCAGAGGCATAGGAGTTAACGTTGCTCTTCGATCTACAGTGTCTCCCTGAGCACTGTATCAACTGGATCATAGATTGAAAGGTTGAGTAAAATCTGAGTACTACCTTTATGAACGGGATTAACCTTAGGGACCCGTATTTCTCAGTGCCACTGTACCAAAATTTCTTGTGTTAGCTTCGGTGGAATTTATTGGTGATGACGGGTCATAGGCATTATGTTCAGACCAAATCACATGCATTCTCAAATACTTTAGAATGCAGCAGATTGGTGTCCGGAGAATGCTCGTCGTGGTTTAGGAGCGAGTTAAGAATATTTGATGAGATCTACATGCAACCCCTTGCAGGTTCAGGATGGTGTCAAAGACTTGAGAGATAAGCAAGACATTGCAGTGGCACAGCTGCATCTTGCCGAAATTCACAAATCGAAGGATGTCTCTCAGTCTACAAAGAGAACCAACACCGTCCAATCATGCTCAGGCGATCAACTCTCCTCATCGATGGCTCAGCAATTCCACCAACCACCTTCTAATAGCTTCACAAACACTAGACACCAGGGTTCAACTGAACTTCCAACAGCTGCAAGTCAGCCTCCTCTTTTACCTCCGGGAAACTTCCATACACCTGCCTCAACATCCCCACATTATACAGTCCAACCACCCTACAATGCCTCTATCCGACAGCATGAATACTTCCCACCGCTGCCCGATTTGCCTTCAGAAACTTCAAATCAGCTAGTCCGTTTTCCTCAAACCGAGCAACTACAGCCATCATTCTACGCCCAGCAGCCTCACCAAGAGCCACCACTCACCATGGCCAATCCTCAATCCAATTATCCATCCAGCCCGCATCCTGGACTAGCTCCTTTGTCGCCCTCGCATGGAAGGTCATTCCATCGCCAACAGTCAAATAGAGGCTCGGGTAGTGAGCTCTCTCCCGCATATCGTCTCGGTGCCTCTCCATTGCCTAGTGGTAGACCAACTATGAAGTCTTGGCAACCCGTACAATCATCTTCAATGGCAGCGCGTGAGAGCGACTTCTCAGGTTTACCAACTGCTCAGCTATTGCCACGTGCAATCCCGACTGCATCCGCCATCGAACCTTCGTCGGGGTCCTCTAGTGGGAACGTTAGCAGGGTACCTGTGGATGACGTTGTCGACAAAGTGGTGGCGATGGGGTTTCGGAGGGACTTGGTGAGAGCAACAGTGAAAAAGCTGACGGAGAATGGCAAGGCAGTGGATCTGAATGTGGTGCTGGACAAGCTGATGACCAGTGGATAAAAATGGTGGGGAGTGGGTCAATAGCAGCACGAACGCCATTGTTCATGCGGTCCAGGTGATGACATTTGCGTACAGTTCGATATTTGGTTTGCGTACAGTTCAATATTTGGTTTGGGAATATTTTAGTGGTTGTGTGACAGGAGAAATCGTTTGGTAATATCATTTTGAACCCACAATTGTTTGCTTCTTGTTGTGGGGTTGGGTTGATCTGTAAATCTTGTAAAGGTTAAACTTCTGGGAGTAATCTTTCTGAGCAGATTTGGTCAGCTTTGTGTGAGAGTGAGATCATGTTCATGGGTTGGATGTGTAGTTAGATTTCGTGAGTTGATTGAAGGGCAGTATTCCACTCTTCTGAAACCCAAAAAAAATTCATTTGCTTATTTTTATGAACATATGTGTCTCTGTTTCTGATGTTTATTTTGTTACGGTTAGGCTTCTTATAAATTTTGTATATAAGTTAATTCTCATATCTTACTATATATTTTATACAACAATAGAATACCTGTATTACCAAGAAAAAATAGATACCTCGTTGATAAATCGACATTATCAACGTAGCATAGAATTGACCGAGCGAATCAGACGAATTTCCTCCAAAATTGCTCTATTACATCACAAATTATCTCATTGTTGACCTAATCAATAACACATTTGGCATCCCCTATTGGCATTTTTTGCTCCATAATGCATTGGTTGTAACCGAGAAAGCTTATGTTTGAATCCTTACGTTAAGCATATAGTACCCGGAGAAAGGGGTGAAGAGAAGCAAGCCTGTCAGCAGAAGGATTCAGATATGCAAAATATAACGACTCGAATGATTCGACCGACATGCTGGTCATCTAGCTGTAGAAGTAACTTTCCATTGATTAACATGTCATAGAAGTATACGATCAGGATGTCGAAACTAAAAGCGTAACAGGCATGTAATTATGTAGTTGATTTACAGCAAGGATGCGCTCTTCGGGTTGGCGAAGAAATGGTTTCTGTAAACGGATTTTGGCTTGCTGAGGTTGTTCCGAAGCAAGCTTCCCAATAGAGCAGGAGGCGCATTTGCTGTTGATTGATGCATCTTTCTCACATTGAGGTGACCGTCCAAGATCATCAACTCCAGCAATCTTCTGCAACTCTGTAAGCAAAAACAGAACAAGAAACATCGGTGGTGCATGCTGAAATCAACTGTAAGGCTCCAAACTACCATAGCTATTTGGTGCATTCAGATTAGATTCAAACGTCGACACAGTCCAGTTCGGTTCGATAGGAACTGGTCATGCCTGGATTTTCAAGATAATTGAGATGAAATTGCCTACCTGAGGATTTAGCACATCCATTCGTTTGATAACGTCCTCCTGCAACACAACCAAAAAGGACTATGAGGCGAAAAACCATTGACAGACCATACTAATTCTTCACATGAATTCTGAATCTCTAGTCAGTGATCAATACAAACTTCTGTTGAAACACAACGAAACCAATTTGCTAATTCCGTACCCTACAAAAAGACTCTCAAAAGTCAGCCACGGGGACTGCTAAAACAACAGTGACTCGCCGATTACTTACCTCAAGTATCCCAGGATTTTGCATCACAGTTCCAAGAGCACGACGGATGAGTCCCCTGAAGACAACTTTGTTCGTGCTACCATCTCCATTAATCCAGGGAAGTAACGGAACAGAAGTTTTACCATCAATACGATGCTCAGGGAAATCCACTATGTCATCTGGGTCTTGAGGATCACTTTTCGGCGAAGCGCTACTTTGTGGTTCAATCAGAGGCACAGCACCATCTGGGAGATTAAGAATAGTAACTCTATGCACATCATTATCGCCCTTGATTGATGCTGGTTCCGTTGTAGCTTGGAGTTTAGGATCAACCTCATCATTGGTTTCGGGTTGGACCACACGGTCGCTATCGTCACTTCTCCCTGACGACTCTGGGGCTGCAGGTGGTTTAGGATCGCCATCCAAAGTAGCCTTCAAGGTTAAACAGTACTTGGACCGATACAAAGCATCAACGACACGAACCGAGTCAAAAGCATTGATCTGTAACAGAAAGCAAAAGGATGTCAGCTTTTTTCTCAAGGTCCAGGCATTAAGCAGCTGAACTTAATCAGTCTCTTTTGTTATATGGACCTTTTATTATCTTATATAAGATGCAAGAGTAGCTTCTTCCACGTTGGGCCAGCAAGCTGGACTCAATGGTGAATCGTTTAAGTGTCTCATAAACATTCATTCGTATTCATTCGTTTAGTAAGTTTTCAGCACACTTTCACTTCTACTATTTGTTTTGGTTGGTAACCTCTTCAATAGACCTACAACCAAACCGAGTCAATGATATACTAAAACAATGACTAACAAACAAAATGTACCTTTAACACTCTTCCAAACGTCTGGAGCACATCGACAACGCATTCACCCATATCTTCTCCTGGGACGAAATGCCATAGGACAACCCATTAAGAGAATGACAAATGTTTATGAGAAGGTCCAGTCTAGAGAGGCAAGAACACTGATCACAAATACCAAATGTATCTTTGTACAACTAGGGGTCCGCAACAATTGTGTCCCCACTAAACCAAATCGATCACCGAACCAGACTAGATCAAACACATTTCAGTTTGTTTTCAATTTCCATATTCAATATTTTATTGTTTCAATTCCGTGAATCATACATTTACAAAGCAAAGAAACAGGTGGGCCAAATTGGACCGAAACACCTTTGATATCCTCATTTTTTATCCGGTCCTAGCCAACATCGGCCCATGTTGGACCAGGCACACACCCAGCATACAAACATAATATAGCTTATTAGTTTACACACCTGGCATAGCGAGAGTCTTGGAAACTTCCTCAATACTCAAGCCTTGATCACCAGCATTATGAATAGCCTTGTAGGAAGCCCGGAAGACCTCAGCACTAAAGAAACTTCCTTCTGTTGGGCTGTAAGCATTCCCATGGAGATAACTAGCATAGCCTGTCATAGCTTCCCAGGAAGACTTACTAGATAATCTTGCTGAAGGAGTAATGCTGTCAATATCCATTATATCCTTCTGGGAACTATCTGTGCCATTTTCACGATCATCTAGAGGTTCCAAAACATTGTCTGGCAAGATTGTGGCACAACGAATGGATACTCTTAGACCGGGAAACCCTTTTTCCCGTCGAGAGAAGAGTTCGCTGTCTCGCATGGATATCAATTTCTTGGACTTCTCACCATCGCAAGGTTCATCATCATCATCAGTTTTCCGTTTGGAGCTTCTTGGGGCATCAGCCTCTCCCAGATCACCGTCTGGCACGCATGGAGAGACTGCCATTTCACCAGAAGAAACTAGAGCAAACAAGTGAAGAATGTCACCACACTGCAAATCGTCTTTCAGAGCAATGCCACCTCCTATTAGGTGATCTTTTGCTTCACGAAGCCAGTTAGAGAATCTAGCTGCCATTTTTCCAGTATTGGAAGGAAATGGAGATTTGGAAATATTGTGCAGAAACTGTTGAGACAGCACAAAGGGACCACCATTGCCCCCAATCTGCAAAATAATAGTGTGTAAGAGGTCAATGGACAGAATAATTTGGGAGCGTTTGTTTCTGCTAAAAGATGAGTACCTAAAAAAGTTGACTTAAAGCTCTGACATATCCATCATGAATTCAAGTCAAATTTACAACTCAAATGATCAGTTATAATAGGTACATTCTGCATTAATGAGCAACTTTTCCACAAAATGAATCGGTTCTATTTGAATGAAGTTCTCTTATTGGCATTTTTTGATAGCCCATAAAATGCATAACGTCTTAGGAAGCCCCCTAGAAATCCTCATTATCAGTACAAATTGGCAATTACTAAAAAACCTGGCTTAACAATTCTACGCAGACAATGGAAATAAATTCCTTACCAGTATTTTGTTCGCCCTGAGATAGCTAAAGGCAGCAAAAAGATCATGTTCTGAATAATGCCGTAAAGTCTCTCCCAGCATGTTCTGAAGATCTGGCAATGTTGAGGAACTCAAGAATACCAGCTTCAGCAACTCCACAGCATTAGAAATAGCAACAGACTTAGACAGCTGTATATCGACACCCGAGCTCTCATTTAGACACTTCATAAACCTCTCTTGAAGCTTATGGTGTTTTAGTCTTTTTCTAGATTCACTGCGTTTACCATGCCCAAGGTTTTGAAGATTGCCACTAGGAGTGCCTGGTGAAAATGGTCCAAATTCTCGAACATTCTGCCAAATCAGCAAAGAGAAAATTAGTCTAGCAATGAAGAAAGCCTCAACAGAAAAATAAAACCATTAAAAACATGTGCTCCATCTAATGAGTATATGCGTGTTCAAATCGTAGCCACAGTAAGAGTTGAATGTGGCTTTTCTAAGAACCCCATGGATTAACTAAGAATGAAAGGACAAGAAAGCTGAAGTTCAACAGCTAAACCTAGAGAATCAGAAACCTACACATCCTTCACTATCTCCTTTTAAATTGGACCATTCCTCAGCACCCTTAGAAGCTTTGGGAGTCAGTTGCTTATATAGGATAACGTCGTCAAAGGCTTCCTTAATATTTTGCTCACTGAAATCATCCCATTGCTCTTCATTGGAACCTGCTGCATCCATATTGCTGACACCGGCAGGCTGTCCTCCATCAAAACCTCCCACTGTGGAGTGACGATGGAGAACTCTGGTCAAATGACCATTCGCAAAAGCACCCTGGTTTTTCTCCAAGTGCTTCACATAACGCTCACTAAGTATGTTACACAGCTTCATCAAGGCTTTTCTCAAACTCTTGTTTCTTTTGAGGGTCGCCATTCTTCTTGCGCACGTTTTAGGAGGTCCAGGTAGGCCAGGAATTTGATTCCAATCCACACGATGGAACCTCGCCCCGAGAATAGAACGATGTCTAGCATACTGGATAATCAACTGCCTGCCAGATGGTTAAAGAACAGCAAAAGCAAAGCAGATTAGATCAGATCAGATCAGAACTGTAAGCAAAATAACCTACTAGTTTTTCCTTCATTTCCATTTACCAAAGAAGAAATGAACTCAAAGCGTACTTGGCCATATAACCTAGTACATCATTAAAAAAAGAAAGAACAGTATATCTTGAGAGTCAAATGTGAAGAGTGGAAAAAGAATCTAACAGACAAAAGGACGCCAGTAGAGTGCATAACTATTGGAAACAATACTTTGTAACAAAAATGAACTGTAGGATTCAGACTCGATGACAGACTAACAACAGGCAATGATTATATGAATCATGGCATACTTAAATATCTAAGAGGTCTGAAGATGAAGCCAAACTAGCTAGCTAGATGAGGTACACCTTGATAAGAAGGAGATCTACTTATTTCCCCTTAGGCCCTTACGATGTGGAGTGATGGAACATCCATGTCCAAAGGGAAGGGAAGTCAATTCAGAGCAAAATGCTCGCTCTCCTATGAATAACCAAA